CATGCCGAAGCCACTCGAAAGCAAGCCGAGGCGTTCACCGCGGAGCAAGCGGACATCGACCGACGATTAATGGCCATCACACAGTCAGAAACCAGCGATGAGGCGGTACGGAGTCTGGAAAAGAGCATGGAGAAGCTCCAGCGGCTTGAATTATCCAAGGGATATGTGGAGTTGCTAAAGGAAGCGGAGGAATTGAGGTAATGCCCCGTTCACCAACCATGAGGGGCTTGATACTGAGACAGCAATACAGCAAGCAAGCTTTGGCAGACATTTCCTCCGAACCACGCGCTGCCTTGAAGCCATATTCCCGACTGCGAACCATCGTCGGACTACTGAAGGATGCCCAGCCTGCTGCTGAAGGAGCGGCCCCTCATCTTGTCGACTACACAGACAAACTAGCCTCTGCATTGAGACAACAGATGAAGAAATACTTTAGTGACCGGCTGCAGAAGACGCTAGAAGAACTGAAATGGCCGACAAGACAACTGAATGTTACCGACCAGCTCTTGGCCCGGTGGAGGCAAGATGTTGAATTGTTGATTGACCTACAATTACCGTACGATCAGCCCATTCAAGCTTGGATTCATGTTCTAACAAGTTACCGCTTAGTGAACTTCAAAGTCGTGATGCACTGGCTTCCGGACTGAGCTTCGAGCCACCAGTCCTGTTCCCATTAGAGGTTATGGTGCATCATCTGGATCTCCGATTCAAATACCACTTTAGTGGAGACAAGCCAACAAACCGACTGGATAAGGTAATGTGCCCCTAGGTCTATACCGAAACAGCGGTCTAACTGGGATTCTAGCCGGAATATTTCCTCTCGCACATAATGGACCTTGTCAACCAACACGGCGGGTTTTTCGTCTCTTATCTGCAACCCATCTTCGATGAAAGGGCCGAAGCAGTCGGTCCAAGTCTGGAATGGAACTTTTACAATGCATCACATAGTTACATTACTGCATTGCTTCCTATGCTGAGACAGAAGATCAGCTTGTTCCTCCCTCAGATCTCAAGCTACCCTCAATTGCTCAGCCACTTCATTCATGAACTGATGAACTTTGATAACGAGATCCGAGAAACGTGGAACTATATGCCTGATCCATATGCGGACGACAATTGGAAGGGCATGACCTGGGAAGTGTTGACCAAACAGGGCTGGTACGATAGATGGCTTCAGGTTGAGAAGGACTTTGCGTTGGTGCGATACAAAGATATCATCGACACCGCGGACAGCGGAGAAATCGATTACGATGGCATGGAGGTCACTGCAACGAAACCAACAAAGGCTGCAATCCGCGTGAATGACCTTCTCGAAACCATAACCGAACGCTATCAGCCCCTGTCGTCTTTTAGTCAGAAGCTGCGGTTTCTCATTGACATTCAAATCACAATTTTCGACCAATTCCATGAGCGCCTCTATTCTGCATTAGAGGCCTACCTCGCGATGACGTCGACGCTTGGACGCACCGTACAGGGAGCCGATGGGCAAGCAAGCGTCGAGGGTGTCGCAGGGCTGGAGCGGCTTTGCAGGGTTTTTGGAAGTGCCGAATACCTCGAAAAGAAGATGGAGGATTGGAGCAACGATGTGTTCTTCGTTGAGCTCTGGTCCGAGCTCCAAGATCGGGTTCAACAAAACCGAGACAACGGTCGCAACGTAGCTGGTACTATGTCTGTCGCAGAGGTAGCGTCGCGTACCTCACCCGCAGTCTCCAACAACAACGGCGCCCACGCCGCGAGCTCATCCGATGGCGCTCTCTTCGATGAGACGGCATCCGCCTACCGTCGTCTCCGACTTCGCTCGGAAACTATCATCACATCGACCCTGTCCTCCAATATCCTCGCCGCTCTGAAGCCTTACTCTCGCGTATCCACATGGGCGACGCTGTCAACCCCCTCCGCCACAGCGACTGCGTCTCCTCTCTCACCCACTTCCGATCTCGCCCATGCAATGCGTGTCCTGTCCGCACAGCTCTCCTTCCTCTCTCGCGCACTGGGGACTGCGCCTCTCCGACGAGTCTCGCGCCAGCTGCTGTTGTCTGTCCAAAGCTATATCTGGGACAGTGTCCTGACCAAACACACCTTTTCTGAGACTGGAGCCGCCCAGCTTGCCAGCGATGTGGACCATCTCTGTCACGTTGTGGATTCGAGACTCGGCGCGTCTGGCCAGGTGGGCATCTCATTGCGAACCATTAAAAAGCTCAGCGAGGGACTGCGTATACTTTGCTTGAGTACGGCCGAGCAAGAAGGGGACGTCTCTGCAAACGATGACGTGTCTTTAAGGCTATGGGATGTGGAGAAGAGGCTGTTTAGGGATAACGAGAGTGCACGGAGTGTGCTTGCTGAATTAGAGATCGACTCTCTATCGGAAGCTGAGGCGCGGTCCGTGTTGGAACGTAGGGTCGAGATTGGCACTTGATGGCTTCGATATCACTTTATACCCAAGCTACTCTCCTTGCACATAATTTATTGCTACTGTTCAGGTAGGTATAGTTTGAAGCTATGCCGACTGCTTACAGCCTCCGCATTTGAGCTCCGAGATATTGGCTCATATTGTTCTTAGGGTGTCAAATTGATACGCAAGCCTTATATATTGCACCAGATATCCTGTATGTCGTATCCCGTTTCTCATATCCATAAGATCTACTCTATATACGCAAGTAAAGAAAAGAAAAAACCAAAATCACGCACCTGCTCAAGCGTGGTGGACAACAGGGCCGTGTCCACGCTCACCAAGCGGCTTATGCGGAACGGTCGAATTGCTGGCCTTCAAAGACTCAATAACACCAGGACCCACCTCTTCGATAGCACGGACAAGCGAATCGACCGTCTCCTTTGTCGTCTGAACATTCACCACACACCGGAAGAACTTCCCATTCCCAGCCGCCTCTTCGTCCGCACTGGGAGGCGCAAAGTCGACCATGAAGCCCTTGGGCACGATCGCATGCGTCACTTGCTCAGTGACCTTGCTGTTATTCCTCGCGCGCTGAGTCTCATTCGAGACAATGCCGCGCGGGTACACGAACTCCTCGCCTGGGGCGTAGTAGAAGCACACCTGCAAACAAGGCGGGGGATCTTCGCTAATAAGAACGAAGTCAGGATGCTGCGCGATGGTGTTGGCCAAGTGCGCGGCGATATCGCATGCCGAATCGATCTGCTGTTGGTAGCCCTCGTTGCCGTAGTATGTCCAGCCCAAAAACAGCTTCAAGGAATCCGCACGTCGACCGCATTGCAGAGTGAGATCTGCCAGGTCCCACACTTCCGGCGAGTCGACTTCTAGCTCGAATACTTTGTCTGTGTCGCCGTTGGTAGCAGGCTCGTCGTCTTCGTTGTGGAATAGATATCCTGCAGGAAGAGTGTTGGCCTTGTGGAACTGGCGCATATCCGAGGCCAGCAGGTAGGAGCAGGTGACCGGAACGCCGAGCATTTTGTGCGGGTTAATGCCGATGCTGTTTGCTTTCTCTGCTCCAGCTAGCTTATGCTTCTGGTGCTTGGAGAAGATGAACGAGCCGCCCCAGGACCCATCAACGTGGAACCACATGTTGTATTTTTGGCAAATGGCTGCGATCTCGTTGAAGGGGTCGAAAGAGCCCAGGACGGTTGTGCCTGCGGTGGCATTGACATAGAACGGCGTCCGGCCTTCACCCTGCGCCTTCTGGACGAGTTTCTCAAGCTCGGCTGGTATCATGCGGCCCACCTTGTCAATGGGGACGGCCCAGACGGCACTGCTACCGAACCCGAGCATCTGCGCCGCCTTTTCCACGCTGTAGTGGCCGTGCGCGCTCGTGAAGAGCACGAACTTGTGCCCGTCGTTCCCGTCGGTTTTCGTGCTAGGGAAGAGGTTGTTGCGCGCAATAACAATGGAGGTGGTGTTCGAGGCGGATCCGCCTTGCACGGAAATACCTCCTGCCCGTGGACCGTTCAGCCCGAAGAGGTTCGCCAACCGCTGGCCGGTATATTTCTCAATGACCGTCAGTGCAGGCGACACTTGGTAGACATGTACGTTGGTGTTCAAGGTAGCGAGGATGAGCTCTGCCGCCACGCCGGGCGCGTTGGTTGACGCATATAGCTTGTCCAAAAAGCCCTGGTGCCAGGTGTTGACTGAGTATTGCAGGACCTTTTGCAAGACCTCAATGAGACCTTCCTGCTTGGTGCCTTTCTCTGGGATCTCTAGCTGAAGGATATCCCGCAGCTCTTCGGGCTTCTTATAATCTACCAACGAGGTCCCAGCTAGTCCAGTGTGTCCATTGGTGCCGTTGGTGCCATTCTCCTGTGTCGAGGACCCGCGGGGATCCTCGTCTGCGGATCGAATAAAGGGAATTAGGAGGTCTTCTACTGCTTTCAGAAGCTAATGATGCATTAGTATCAGAGCAATAAAGAATGCAGCGGGGTGTAGATCACTGCGATATGGAGTTGACTCACGCTTTGCACTTCATCAGCGCGGTTAGGCTGCGCAATGCCTGACATTTGTACAGATTCTCACGTTCTAGTATGTAAAAATGCAAGTAGAGACAGTAACGAGTCTATACAGAGGGAATGGAAAAGAAAGGAGGGCAGAGGACGCAATTGAAAATTAAAAGAAGTTCACCGGCGACTTCGGAGATGGCGACAATCCCGCAGAGCCTGACATCATCCGCATTCAGTCCCGAGGTCCTCATGCGATGGTCTATAATCAGCTGTACTCATATTTGAGTTCGATTCTCATGGAGTCTGTATACTCCCGATTATCTAGATTCCTTGCATATATCACATGCAGACAAGGATATTAAGATTCGGGCTGATCTGCAGGAACCCGAATGCCCCTCATGGAATTGTGGCTGGTGAACTATATACAATTCGTCAATTCTCTAAATATCTCCGATATGTTTTGAAATATGATGTTGATTCATTAAAAAGATATGGAAATAGATATAAAGCAATGGAACAATTGATGCATCAACGCCTTTTGTATGAGTGCATGTGCATTTCGTCCAATACGTAATTTTATCAACCACCGTACCTCTTCACCTGCTAGCCACCGCAGTCTGGTTCGCACCAGTAGCACCAGCACCGGCCGCTTCCTTGGCTGCTGCATAACGGGCCCGGGCCTGTTCAATTTTGGACTTGGGACGTTCGGCGCCTTCACTGCCCTCATTTCGCTCCTCAGAGCCCTTGGCCTTGTGAGTCCAATCACGTCGGCGGCGCTTGAAGAGATCCATTGACCAGTTTCGCCAGACTGCGCGACCCACAAAGGAATCGCGGAGCTCCTGTTCATGTTTCTCGAGTTCTTGCGCCATCCGCTCTTTGACAAAGAAGATATCCTTGGTCGCAGACCAAAGCGCATCCACTACGTGCGACCCGCTGCTGCTCAAGGCAAGGGGTGTGAGATGACCTTGGAAACGGGTGGTGAGCTGTCGCCGGATTTGAGGTGTAGAGGTGGTGGAGGTTAGAGCCTGTTGAAGAACACGGGAAGAGGTGGGTTCTTGGGCAAGTTGTACGATCGTCTCGGATGATTGGGCAAGGAGACTCGTATAGACAAGTTGGCTCATCGGGCCAGGAACTGTTAACATGGCCTGAACTAGCAGAGATGCATGGAGTTTCTCTGCTTTCTCGGCCGCAGACACCGGGGGTGGGCCCCGTGGTCTGCGGTCCTTTCCGTCGTTGTCCTCGTTCATATCATGGTCTTCAGATTGCGGGGCTGCGTTCTCCGAGATGTTGAACCTGAGCATCTGCTGCAATCTAATAACAGGATCCCGGCTATAAGCACCCTCAAGTGCCTCTGCAAGAGGCTTTGTGTCGACTCCACGGACCACACACCGCTCGACCAACATCTTGGGGACAATTAGTCTCGACCGTTCAATAAGGCCCGGAACTTCGGGAATAATGTTGGTCATGGCAATCTTCAAGTCATCCTTGCCGAGTCTTTCCAGCAACCGAAGAACCACATATCCAGCAGTGCTATTGCGAGAGAGGGAACCAATTCGCGCACCCAAGTTGTTCCTGTAAAGGTTTTTGAATGATTTACCAGGGAGATATCGCACCATCGTTTCTAACAGACGAGAACCCACTGGGTCATATAGGAGACCACTAATGAAAACCGCGCTTTCGGATTCTTCCTCGAACGACTCATCAGGAACCAGTCTTCGGATGGTCGACTTGGGATCCTTGGCGCTAGATTTTCCAAAATGAGAAAGCTCCAGGAACAACAGTACCTGAAGCACGGGGTTTCCAACTGGATGCGTCGCCAGGGCGCGGAGATAAACATCGTCGAGACCGGCAACCATATCAGTCATGATCTTCTTGAGTGCCGGCTCAAATGTCTCTGGAACAGTGTGCTTCTCAGCTTTAGATTTGCCCGCCTTCTCCTCACCCTGGATAGTCGGGATCTCAATTCTTTCCTTCTTGCGACTTGCGACAAACGATTCATTTGACGTGACATCCACCGGCTCGCCTGCAAGAACTAGCAGTAGCACTCGGATTGTATGCGACGCAAATCGCTCCGTCAGCAGGTATCCCCAATTTTCCTTCAATTCCTCAATAACAGCCATGAACATTTCTGAGAGCGACAGTTCGGGCTCTTCCTCTCCTTCTTCGTCCGACTTTTTGGGCTGAGATTTCGTCTTTTGCATCACGGCAGGCGCAGCGTGGATGAAAAGCGTCTCACAACAGTGACTAGCAAACCGATGCTGCACTAGGTGGAGGAAGTGGCCGATAAATTTGCTGAATATCCGGCGCAGTTGTCGAGCGTCTGACATTGAGATCAATTTCTCCATGAGTCTCGAACAGCCCTGACTGCAGGCAATCTTCAATTCCTTGCCACTGGCTTCCGAGTACACACTATCGACAAACAAGCTGCGCTCTTCGGCGTCCTGGAACTGGTTCAGCTCCAGCATTTCGTTGGCGCGCTGGAAATATTCTGACTCCTCCTCATCTAGAAGACCATAGAAAGGCATGTCTCCATCCAAATCAGGTTGCTCGCCTTCCTGCTGTTCGCCCTGCTCAAGAGGAATGTAGTCCTCATTTAGTTGGATGTCGTCGTTGGCCTCATTGGTCTCGTCGGCGTCGTCGGCAGAGGGCTTCATCCGCTTCGCGACGGGATCTTCGGAGGTTTCCTCGAACTTTCTCTTGGAATCATCTTTCTGGGCTTTCTTCTCGGCCCTGCGGCCTCTTTTTTGTTGTTCACGGGGCATTATGGCGGTGTGTCGTGAGGGAAGATGCACTCGAAGTGCTGGAAATTTTTTGGATAAGCTGTGGTCCAAGCGTCTCTGCGGTGATAAGAGTTTGGTCTGTTTGCAATTGTGGCCATTCTATAAAACGAAAACAAGAGGCGGAGTATTAAGAAGAGCGAATTATAATTGAATTTCATATGGCATCACTAAATATACAGATTTCCTTTTACCATTTACACTGCAGAATAAATGGCAGAGACATGGCGCCCACATTCGACACGCTGCTCCATGCTTACATTGCGATTCCCGACCTTGCCCTTGTGACGAGGCATGATCTGTAATCGAGCCTCGGCCTGGGTTTTCTTGTTTTCGGGGGGTGCGTTGATGTAGGTAGGCTTGCACTGATTGCTTCGCTTTCCTGTTCCCAGCTGCAAATGCTCGTTGCCTCCCCACCAGAGTACATCATAGCCCCAGTCTTTGGATTGATCCAGAGAGTCCTTGGTAGTTTTGCTGACATTGGTCTTGTTGTCCAAGACAGCAGAGACATGTGTTGTACCGACAGACATGGCCCGAATGCGAATAGGGGTCATTTGTTTTGTCTTCTCGTCATACTCGCTCATACCACTTAGAGCTTTCACTTTGGTGGGCGAATCCTGCAGGTGAACCCATCTGCCATTGCCGAGAGTACCCCAAATTCCCCTGCCACAGGCCCATGTGTCTGCAGTTAATTTCCCAAGATCGTGGACATTGGCCGCCTCTTCTTCGTACCCCAGAATGCGCTTAGCATCGACGGAGAAGAAGGTGTTGGCGCCACCAGCAGCAATGCTAGTAACCTTGGCCAGATAGAGGTTTCTTCTATAGAGTTTTTGAACTTTCATATGGAAAGGAACATCCTTGAAAGGCCTCTGGGGTTCAAAATCCACACCCAGTTGACCAAATGAGTTGTCGCCAAAGCCAAACATACGGCCATCTTTGCTTAGCGCCAATGAGTGGTAGTCGCCGCAGGCAATCTGAAGAATCTTAGAGTCTCTGAGAGCTGTAACTTCATGACAGGTATCTGCTGGCCCCTTGGGTCTGGTGGACCAGGTAAGTCCCTCCACACCGAGTTGACCTAGTGAAGGGTAATTTTCGGTGGATGACGCTGCAGAGAATACTCGACCAGAGCTTGTGAGAAGCAGCACATGCTCCTGTCCTCCACTAATTGCAGTAACCTTTTCGCCAAGCTTCAAAGATGGGTTCAGTACACGGTAGCTCAGATTAGACTGATTGGGCCAGTACGGAACCCAAGAGCTTTCCGTTGTCTTTGGGCCGGTGCTTTGCTCGTCCTTGGATATCGGCAGTGAGTATACAGTCCCATCTGAGGATAACGCAATGATTCGACTTTCGGACAGAGCGAGTGAGACGAGATTCTTGCCGGTCAGAGTCGCCGTCGGTTTGAAGTCCGACTCTGAGAACGCCTGGCCCCATTGCACCAGATCTCCCTTCTCGGTGATTGCTGCACCGGACCTTTCGTCGATCTTGAGATCTCTCAGCACCTGGCCATCAAAGTATTTGAAGCGCCGAGGAGTCTTGATGTCGGTATCTTTAGATCCTGGATCCACCACACGATAGACGTTCGACCCCCATGTGTAGACAGCTGGGCTTTTCAGGCTTCGTTTTTCTTGAATGAACTGAGCTTGGAGATCGTTGACATCAACAGGCTCTTTCTTCGTAACCTCCGGGTGACTCATCCAAGCCTCCTTTCCACCATCAGCCATGTATGAGTACCCCAAAAAGACTGCAGTTCCTGTCACAGCAAATCCGAGAGAATTACGGATCCAGTGTGATGACGGGTCTGGTTTTTGCGATCGACTGCTAGCAAATCGGGACCATGGCGCATTTAGTGAGCGAGCCGTCGAGTTTCTGAGTGGACGAAACGCGAGGACTGAGTGTGTCGCGGGCCGTCGCATTCTGGTTGTCAACATTGTAGATGATGCCGGATCACCAGCTAGAGCATGTCGGAGCTGCAAAGGTGAGATTATATCTGGGGAAGCTCTCAATGCCGCGCCAATGATTTGTTGCGGCAATCCAGGCGGGAGCTCTCGGCAGAATCCATCTCGGACTTGACCACATCGCAGTTCGACTTTAACATGAAACTTGGCCTGAATTTCACTCTGGATAAAGTCGGCAGAGAAACATGAGCTGTGGGCTGACTCCCATTACACTCCCTGGGTCTTGACCGCACCATGCCTTCCACAAAGCAGCAGCGTGCCCGCCGCCAAACCGCTCCCTCTGGCCCGCCGCGCAAACCCACCGCCAAAGAAACCCAATCAAGCCTCCAAGCATTGGACGAGAAGCCGCCCAGCGATTTAGAGTGGAAAAAGCCAGGATGGAGCAACGAACTCGAGTTTTCGCACTGGCTTAATGGTGTCAAGGGTGACCTGATTGAGGAGAGCTATGACGAGTACCAGTATGATGGACATTGGACGGGTATCGGAGATGTACTGATTTACTTTTTTGTAGGAATTGCTTGGATGAACTTGAACAATCGAAAGAGCACATTGACGAAATCTTAGCGAACACCTTGACCCTTCTGGATGACCTATCCAGCTTGTCCGAATCATTCAAATCGGTCGAGACCCAAACATCGAATTTCGAGAGACAATGCGAAGGGCTTTTGTCTGCGCAGGAACGGGATACAAGACTTGCGAACGGCATCCAGAACAACCTCCACTATTACGATTTCTTAGACCCCGCATCGCGGCGGCTTAATGCCCCCGGCGCCGGGAATACAGTTCGCGACAAAGAATTCTCAGATATGTTGAGGCGTCTGGACGTGTGCTTAGATTACATGGAAACACATGTAAGTAAGCAAGCCCTGGATATCTATTCGCCTATCACTGACCTCTCTGCAGCCGGAACAAAAAGAGGCAGAGGTCTATCGCTCGAGATACCGGCTACTGCTAACGCGTGCATTGACGCTTATCCGCGGTAACTTTGTATCTTCACTTAAGGATATTTACCAGAGTGTCTCCAAAAAGATTTCAGACCAGCAATTGAATGACACGGCATTGTCGGCTCTCCTGTATGCCAAATTCAGGGTTGGAGCACCTGAGCTGAAGCAGATTGGAGTCGAGATCCAAAAGAGAGCCGTGCCGCCGCTCAACCCAGATCAAAATAATGAAGCTGAATATCAAAGTCTGATGAACGAGCTGCACAGCAATTACTCAGCTACTCGCGCAAAGCTGATCGTGCCGCTCGCTCGCAAAAAGCTCGGCGAAATCACACAGACGCCTAGTTCGTCCAAGGACCTGGTTGCCTTTGCTCGAGCTAGCATCAGTTATATCCGTGGTCTGTGCCTGGACGAATATGATCTATGGGGGGAATGGTTCCACGGACAAGGAGGTTTATATGACTTCCTTGAGACATTATGCGAACCACTTTATGATCACCTTCGTCCACGAATTATCCACGAGTCCGATATCGTCATGCTATGTCAGCTATGTAATCTACTACAGACTCGCTATTTCTCGGACCCAGAAGAAGAACCTGAACAAGTCGAGACGAACCATCTTGACTTTTCTCTTTTGATCCAGCCCGCTTTGCAAGATGTCCAGGCCCGACTTGTTTTCCGTGCTCTGGCTGTTCTGCGCGACGAAATCGAACGCTACAAACCTCGCCCAGAGGACATTGATTACCCCATGCGCAACCGGCAGTTATCTCTGACCGTGTCAGATACTCAGATCTCGGGCAAGAAAGACACATCTGCAGATACCCTAATCGACATGACGGCCAAACAAGGCGACGAAGGCGAATCAACACAAGAGCCAGACGGTAAATGGGACTTTGAAACCCAGACCGCCCTAAAGGGCTGGTATCCAACTCTGCGAAAAGCAATCTGGCTCCTGAGCCGGATATACCGCCTAGTGAATGTAAGATGTCTCCCCGGCAGCAACCCTAACCATGCACCAATACTGACCACCCCAGTCCACCGTCTTCGACGACCTGGCCCACCAGATCGTGCACCAAACAACCCTCTCTCTTCAAAACGCCAGCACCCTAATCTCCGCCAAAGCCACACCAGCCGACAGCCAACTCTTCCTAATGAGCCATCTCCTAATCCTAAAGCAACAAATCGTCGCCTTCGACATCGAATACGTCTCCGCCGATATCTCCTTCGACTTCTCTGGCATGACAAGTACATTCTGGGAGCTGCGCGAGCGCGGCGGCCTCTTCAACCCACGCAACCTGATGCGCCTCGTCGGCCACGGCCTCATCCCGCGTGTCGTGGAGAACATGCTCGACGCGAAAGTCGAGCTGGATGGTCGGCTTCGCACAGTCATCAACGACTTCATAAATGCCTTTGCTGCTCGCATGACCGCCTCGCTGCCGGCTCAATTCGTCGATTCCCGCAACCTGGCCCGCGGCGAACTTATCCTCCCTTCTTGCCGCACTATCGAGAAGGAGGTGCCGGTTCTGCGTAAGGTCTTGAATGAGTATATTGATGACACGCGTATGAAAGAGACGCTTGTTGGGGCGGTCCAGGACCGCACTATTCAGATCTATGAGGATTTCTTTGAGAAATATACTTCTTCTGAGAAGGTCAAGGGCAATTTCGTTAGTAAGAAAGGGAAGGGTCGGGACGATGCTGTCTGGGATGTTAATACCTTTGCCGAATGGTGCGAGGGTGTATTCCGTGTCGGCGTCTCTGGGTTGCAGGCTGATATCCCCGACGACGACGACGATCTCCTAAGCACCAGCTCTTAGGATTTGGATTCGTTCTTATGACCTTTCCTTTTCTTGAATATCCGCTTTTCGAGCCCAGATACCATGTTCAATTGAGCACTTTCGTACATGTATAAGCCGAGTAATTATATAAATTCGTGTTAGTCCCGATAGCAATTCTTGCTGTATCGAAGTGTATCACAATCTGACTGTAAAGAGGGAATCCACTTCCCCGGTAAATGTTATTATCCACAAACGTGAAAAGATGTATGTACAGCTGATCAGAATGCCGAAAGAATACAGAAGACAAATTTCGCTTCAAGCATGTAAAAAAAAGGGTATGTACGGTCAATAGGAGAAAGCGCAAAGATGTTAAGTCACTCCGAACGCAGTCAAACAAGCAAATAAAACCAATGGAACTCAAAGCACATCGCGAATCTTGGCGTACAATTCCGTATCTAGGAAGTTGTAGTTCGCATCAGACTCGCAGAAGGGATGGCGGGTGAGCAGGGTCCCGGCAGTAGGGCGTTCAGCCGAGTCACTGGGAAGATGTTAGTAAAAGATTATCTCAAAAACCAAGATCTGACAAAGCGATCCTAGCGCGAAAACCAGGTAGAACTTACATTGTGAAGCAATCATACATAAATGCAAGAGCCGCTGGACTAATGTTCATAGAAACATCATCCGGAATCGGTGGAGCCTGGCTCAGACTGCCGAGTTTGAAGATAGCGCCGATGGCCTCCTCCTTGCTCCATGGTCGACGGCCGGCAAACATCTCTAGCACCACACAGCCAAGGGACCATATATCGACCTTAGCGCTGTAGCCCTGGCCCTGGGACTGGATGACCTCCGGGGCCATCCAGAAGACGGAGCCTTGCATGGAGTTGGACGAGTCGTTGCCGTAGATGTCGTCTGTTTTCTTGGAGATACCAAAGTCAGAGATCTTGCACGTGCCATCGAGATCCAGGAGGATGTTGTCTGCTTTCAGGTCACGGTGGAGGATTCCCTTGTCGTGAAGGTACGCCAGTCCGCCCAGGGTCTGCCGCGTCAGTGATCTCACAACACTTTCTTCGAATTTGCCATGCTTGCGCAGACAGCTTCCGACAGATCCACCGGAGATATACTCCAGGTAAATGGAGATGGAGAATTCACCACGCTCGCATCCAAGATATTGCACGATGTTCGGGTGTTCGAGATGCTGCATTGTGTCGATCTCCTGGTCCAGGGCGGCGACCATCTCCTTGACGCGGTCTTTGTCTGCCCCTGCAATCCGCGGGTTGATTTCGACCAGTTTGACTGCCAAAACTTCACCATTGTCCGCGTTCATGCCTAGGTATACGCGACCATAAGTGCCCTTGCCGATGAGCTGACCACGGATGATGCGGAAAGTGGGTTGGCGCTGAGGAACGGGCCCGGTATTTGACGCCGGTTGGGTGCTGTTTTGCGGGATCGGATCGAGTTGGCTAAGCCGGGTGCCTGGCCTGGGCCTGATTTGCATAATCTTGGCGCCGAACATCTTGGTACTCTTTCGGCGCAGGAGATCACCCGACCTTTGCGGACCAGCAGCGCTAACGCTGTTCGTCCGGTTGGCTCCCTGGGCCACCTGTCGAATGGATTTCATGCGAGAGAGTCCGCCGCCACCGCCGCCACCACGAGCAAGTTTCTGTCGAGCGAAATTGGCAGGTTCAGGTGGTCTCACCGGCCCTGTTTCAGGCGCATGGTTTGCATGCGGCGTAGGGGGCGGGCCTTCCTTTTTGTCTTTGAGGCTCGTGTCATGTTCGCTGTTAGTCTTGCTATTGGGCGATGAGGGCTCGTCCAAGTAAGGAGCGTCAAGATCAACGTCAGGGAAGAAATCATCGAGGTGGTCGATAACGCCTTCAACAGCAGGTCTGCTTGCCCAGATATCTCGGCCAAATGACTCTCGCCGTGGTAGAGACCTCTCATCTTCAGGCGACACCGGTCCCCAGGTACTAGAAGCCGGTTCCTTCCCATCAGATGTCTCTCCACTGGAACTGGGACCGGCAGTACTCGGAGATTTGAACCTGACAGACAATTTTGATCTCAATTGATCCTTTGTGTTCACAGTCAGCGATGGCCTCTCCGACTTCTTTTCCGTCTCAGCTCGCGTTTCTCTCTGTTCTTCCTGGGCCCTTGAAGGTCGGACTTGGAATAGGCCATCGTCCGAGTCATCGGAGTCATCATCTGAGTCCTGTTGCTGTTGAGGAGTTCGCTGGAAGGATACTTGATTCTCTTCGAAGTC